ATTATAAATACAAAATTTGTATTTAAGTATATAGAAATAGTACCTCGTTGTGTTAATAGATCTCTGCCCTCCAGCACATGCATTTTAATATGTAGAAACCTCAATCGATAAAAACATGCTAGAGATGAGTGTTTATATTTATAATCTCCAGTCCAGGTGTGACATATAGTGCTGGGTTCATCCAGTAGCGGTCTGTGCTCAGTGCATTCCTGGCACAGCCTGATCTTCATCCTATTGTACAAAACAGTTTTTATATTTTAACGTGCTTTTACATGCAATTTTACATGTGCAAGTAAAAATACGCAATTGATGTACTATTGCAGTGTTCATAAAAAAATAAGTGCCTTTTACATGAGATCTGTGTATTCTTTCAATATCTCTTTCTGTGAGAATGTTAAAAGATTTTTGCTCACAATGTGCATGACTTTTGTGTGAGAATGGCATGTGTGAAGTCCTCCTTCATCTCTTCTCTGTTCTATTCTGTAAACTACTTGTCAAATATCCACATTGTATAATTGTAAAGCGCTCCACAATATGTTTATGTTCTGTAAATGCTGCTAATTACAATTAATAATCTATTTGAAGATTTATAATCTTGTAAACCAGCATGAATGTTTGAATTTCCATATTCTTAACCTCACCCAACTGTACTTACTTTGTTTTTTTTATTTTGTTTTTTAAGACCTATAAAAATGTTATCCAGATTGAGAGTAGTCGCAAGCAGAAGTCTGCCAGCATGTCGGACTGTGCACACCAAAGAGAAGGGCAAAGCTCTTATGTTAAATCCAAGGACAAACAAGGTATGTGAAATTGAGGTCTCTGTAATATGGGGGCTGTATTCTGTCCTAAACACGGTGTATTATGTTTATCTATAAACACTTTATGGACTAACACTATATGTCTCCCTATAATGCATTGCCGTTTTCATTGTATTTATTTTTTTTAAGTGTATAGTTTCTTCACCCAAAGAGGCTAGTTGCTAATCTGAGGTGAAAAGTCTCAGTCTTAGTTGTATTAGCCAAAAAGTTGCAATTCTTTTGTCCGTTTTCCACAATTCCCAAGTTTAGCTACAAAACTCTATATACATGGACATTTTATGTGTGTTTGTGTATATATATATATATATATATCCAGCTACATCTGTAGATATAGACTGATATATAGCTGTTTCTATATAGATGTAGAGGGATGATTTATATAGATATAGGTAACTAATGACCTCAAAGCTTGCGTCTTATCTGTTTGTTCCTAAACCAGTCAGGTCTTATCAGATTAGTTGTGTATTTTTATTTTTTTCATTTTAATTCCCTGTAATCTGCTAAACACAAATGAGCCAATATTAAGTTTAAAATATTGTCATCCTCTACCCTCCAATCACTGCATTTATTTATTCAGACTGCTCTGGAGGCCCTCAGTGAGCTTAACCAGCATGTTGTGTGATTGTGCTGCCTTGGAGCATAGAATGAGAGAACCTTTATGAAAAGTTCTAATACAACAAAGGGCTTATTGCTTTATGTAATTTTTTCCCTCTAACATCACTTTATTTGCATAAAGAAATACCTGTGCTTTTAATTGGTTGAAGACCATAACACCAACATTGTATTTGTCTAACGTGATAATTCTCTTAAGTGTGGAATGTTGAAAATACAAAAAGAATTTGACATTTTTGCAAAAACAGCTGAATTACAAACATGGCTGACTTGGGGATTTTTTATAATTTAGCTACTGCAGCCTAACTTTGAATTCTTTATAATTCATACTGTTGTAAGCTGTGAAAGCAACTAAAATGTTATTCAAAATGGCTTCTAGAATGTAAACCTCGGCATTGCTAAACAAAACACTGCCCGCATAGCAGAATGTTTCAATCAATTCTTTTTTTCTGGATTTAGGGAATGGCATTTACTTTACAAGAAAGGCAAATCCTTGGACTTCAGGGACTCTTGCCTTCCAAAATAGAGACCCAAGACATTCAAGCTGCTCGATTTCACAAGAACCTGAGAAAAATGGAGGACCCTTTAGAAAAGTATGTATTCCAAACAAGTTTCCATCAATAAAATCTATACTTAACGCTTATTGGTAGAAACATCTTATAATGGATAGCAACAGACTAGTGAATAATGCATAAGATGTACACTTAACCACCATGACATCCCCTGGATCTTCCAGTACCATTCCAGCATGGAGCTATTAGGCCTATTATTGGAGAAAACCCACAAAGAGCACAGTGTATCATAAATAAGGACCAAATGTCGCTTTTTGCGGTCATTACACTCTGTTTCTTAAGACAGAATGGTATGTCGAGCTTGTTTAGAATTGACAAATCGATACATTGAGTTGGTCATTCCATTTTGGAATGGGATCTTTAAATGGTCTATGTGATTTAGGCTCACTTGGGTGTTGTGTTAAAGCTCTGTTGGGTAGCCGTTATTTGTTTGGCTAGCACAGCTTGCATCTTTT